AAAGTAACAAAAAGTCTAGCTCTAATTTCTCAATTTACATGTTCATGGGTCAATGTTACACTGGAATGAAGATTCTATCTTGGTTGGTTAGCGGCACTGAAGGTGAGGTGAAATGGGGTTTAACGCCACGTCCAAGATTATTGCACTTATATAGCAACGTGCATGTGTGCGTGTGCGTGTACTAGTCAAGACTGATGCCTATTTATAGTGCTAACTCACTGAGATACCATGCTGCAGTTAAACATGAATACCCCACTCAGACACAGTATACTGACTCCGAGCCGACCAGTCCTTGTTTTAGCTTTAGCCCCTTAATGCCGAGCGCCAGACAGGGTAACAATAAGTACCATCTTTTAACGTCTTTTGGTATGACGCGGCTGGGGATGGAACCCCGGACCTTCCGCACTCCGGGCGGATGCTCTACCACTAGACCATGGAGGCGGTCTAGCGGCACTGAAGGGCCATGGAACAAGAATTGGCTTCAACTATTGCACTCACACTATCAGTGGTACCTTTCAGTACACAGTATCGCCATAGACACAAGCATGTCTAAACCACTGCCAAGATACAAGGGATTTCTCAGGATAGGCTTGAGAGCATGCAGATCAAGATCCTTACTTGGTTTCAGTGCATACAAAACAAGTAGGATCTACATGTGAATGAGGTTGATACATGTGACTGTCTCTAGACACCACAGAACCATCATTCAAGATGACAATCTGTTAAACATTCTCCATATAACTTAGATATGAAAAGTGTCCACTTGTTCTGCAAATCCATCCTACTCCATGCTTCCAAGGGCTACACATGGCTACTAGTAGTGGGGAGATTAATTGAGTCTGGCAGTACTAGTTTTCTCCCTGTGTGGAATTGAACCTGGGTCTCTGGCTTGATGAGTGAACACATTAACCACTAGGTTACCCCAACGCCCCTCATGACACATGAAAACAAGAGCTGTGAACTAGATTTATCTTACGCATGTTGTCAACTTGGCTTCTAACTGGTTACCATTGGCAAATTAGATTTTCGTGAAAGGGGCAGATTAAACTGATAGTATCTGAGATCTATGTTATTTTTCAAGGCACTGAGTATTAACCCCCAAGTAATCATTCACACTGGGTATTGCAGGGTATGAAACTCCCAAAATTGTCAGCCAGACCACAGGACTGGCTAGCTGAAATACTTGCCAGCCCTGACCAAAACCTGCCTGCCCACTATAATCATATGTTTCTCAGGATAATTTAATTAAAACTTTAAAACGAATTCATTGAACATGAAGTGATGCAAGAAAAGAAATAGCAAACACATTTTAGGTCAGATTTGTATTTAATATCCTAGAATACATCATGTAAATAATGCTTATCATCGGGAAATATTTAGAATATTTTTACATATGAAATATAACCCGACCGTCGGGCAGGGGGATTTGAAAATCTGGCAGCCCGAGTTGAAATCAACCCGTCTCGGACGGTCGGGCAGGCAGGTATTTCGAACACTGGGTATTGCCAGTTTTCCTTGGGTATTCAGTATATCTGTACTCCATTGAGTCCAGGCTATTGGGTTTTTCGCACCAATGAGAAATGAAGACATGTGCTGCCCCAAGTGTATAACACATCGCATAACCCACAACAGCGATATATACTGTAAATAGTGAAATCAACGCGAGCGTGAATTTAATGCGAAAAATGCGAGTGGTCTTTGCTCACATTAATGAACATCGCATTTATATCAACAATAAGACATTTTGGTTAGCAGATATACCAACTTCGACATACGCTAAAAACAAACTATGTATTCAACATCACTGTTTATTGAGCAGCACTTGTAACAAGTATATAAACAATGTCACTCAAGCACTCATTACATCCTGTGAATTGTCAGCGCTGGGGCCAAGACAAGCGTTCTACTCACTAATGTCATCATGATTGTGAATACTAGTACTATTTAGTCACGTTATTTATACCCCAAAATTGGAGGCAAAAGATTTAACTTGAGTTGGTTCAGTTTTATTGTATTTCCTGTGAACTTCCTTAATGCCACTTAACAGAATAAACACAAAAAGTATATGTCATTCTTTGGAAAACACTATGTATAGTTTTATCGGAAGTACTCTACTCAGCGCTAATAAGCGGTGCTATTTGGTGTGTGATTGGATTCAGGTCAGGTTGGATTAAGGTGAGGATTCTCCTGTATACCTGACAGAAGACATTTTCTTTACATATAGATCCACTGATTCTTGAGAGAGGGGGTGCTGCATTTTTGGCTAGGGGTCAGTGGTCGCATTCTTTTGGAGACGCATTAATTTCACGATTTACTGTACTCACTGCCAAAAGATATGCAAACCATTGAGACAGAGAAGTCAGAGCTCCAGATAAGCTTTTGGAGTTGTGGGTATTTTACCCATGCATTTTAAAATCACTGCGTATCAGCTATTCTATCTGGGTATTCAAATTTCTGTTACCCACTAGTTTTTACACATGTGGGTATTTAAGTTAAATATTTAAAAACACTATTCATCTAGTCCCTGCAAACTGGTGTTGTGTGGGTTCAAGAGCTTTATAGGACTCAAAAATACCACGATACTTCCACAAGAAAGTGTGATGGCAAATGATCATGATGTAACTGTCATCGTGGAGTTTGGCAAGGTTGACGGAATGCCCGTTTATAATTTCAAAATAAGTTGCTGATTTGCCAATCGAATACGCAGGGTTACTTCACAATATTTTGAATATACGCACAAGTTTTATTTTTGTAGCGTATCTGTAATGTTCGTTGCGTATTTGATACGCTTGGATATTATTTTACTGCGTATTTCTGCATTTCTGATGCGTTTTTTTACGCAGATACGCAGCTTGTCTGGGTCTCTGGAAGTGTGAACGTCAAGAAGAGATGTTTCCAATGTGTTCCACTAAATGAAAAAACATGTGATGTGTTCATGAGCGTCAATTCACACAACGTACCAGTATGGCCGTTAGTGCATCAAACCAATCTACCATCTTTTGAATATGATTAATTCTTCATATATTAACCAACATGTATGGTATTCACGTTTCTTTTGTTGGTGAGAACTTAACAATTGGCGAGACATGGCCTTATTCATTGCAGTAGAGATGAGGTGAAATTGGGTTCAACGTCGCGTCCAAGATTATTGCACTTATATAGCGACGTGCATGCACGTGTGTGTGTGTGGCTGCTTGTACTAGTCCGGACTGATGCCGATTTATAGTGCTAGTTCACTGAGATACCATGCCGCAGTTTAACATGGATACCCCACTCAGACACAGTATACTGACTCCGAGCCGACCAGTCCTTGTTTTAGCTCCTTAATGCCGAGCGCCAGACAGGGTAACAACAAGTACAATCTTTTAACGTCTTTTTGTAAGACGCGGCCCGGGATCGAACCCTGGACCTTCCGCTCTCCGGGCGGACGCTCTACCACAAGACCACGGAGGCGGTCCATTGCAGTAGAGATTATGTATGTGGAAGTATGTAAATAAATACAGGTATCCAAGTTGAAAAGGCAACACTGGTGTTATACAATTATGTATTTTCTTATTTTTTTCATGCATATTTGTAAACAAGTCAAAATAAGTGAAGAAGTAGGGATTTGTTTTGCATATTCTACACAAATACCCAGATTATGCCGAGTTCTGTATGGCAGTGGTAGAAATTAACATTTTTAGTCCTTATAATGTTAACATATATCCCTTAAGAAGGGCAAATTTCTTGGTTTGTTGGTTGTTTAACACCGCACTCAGACATATTCCAGATTTATGACGGCAGTCTGTAAATAATCAAGTCTGGACCTGACAATCCAGTGATTGAATGAGCATCGATTCACACAATTGGGACTGATGACATGCATCAACCAAGTCAGTGAGCCTGACCACCCAAACCCGTTAGTCGCCTCTTACAATAAGCATAGTCGCCTTTTACGGCAAGCATAGGTTGCTGAAGACCTATTCTACCCGGGTCTTCACGGGTATACTAGTCCTTATGACACCTTAACTATTAGGCAGTTTGGCAAGGACTATAGGACAAGTGCCAAATTATAACACTGCATAATGCAACCATACATTGGGATGGTAACTTTCTATATCTCAGGTCAGTCTCATGGTAATCGTATTGATACCCTTACTGCCCAATCGGTTTGCAAATGAAACCTCTGGCAGTCGGGAAAATGTATGTTTGTTCAAGGAATGTGAAATATTTGTTGGGATTTTCCATGTAAATTCACTGAACACATAAAACTACCAGTTCCACTTTACCACTGTGCCAGCTATAACTCCAGAGTGGGAGATCCCATGTCAGAGTGAGTGAGTGAGTGAGTTGGGTTTAAAGCTGCTTTTAACAGTATTCCAGTTATATCGCGGCCTGTCAGCTTAATGTGGGAGGAAATCCCGAAGTGATGCAGGTCTCTGACGTTTACCACTTCGGCGAAACCCACGAGCACGGGTATGGTGCTGACAAACCTACAAACATAATCGGGGCGAACCGGGATTCGAACCCACAATCATAGGTTTCTGGCGTGCCCAAGGGACGCAACTCTGCACAGCGAATCGCAGCGCCTTAGATGACTGGGCCACCCGTGCCCCCGATCCCATGTAAGATCTCCAATTCACACTTAATTCAAAGAGGGAGATTTCCACTTCAATATGCAGCAGTATTTTCAATATGACACATGTAACACGACTTCTTATGAGTGAGATAATTCTGTTCATAATTGTAGACCTTCCCACAAGCACAATAATATACCAACTTCTTGTGTATGGCATTGATGTGCCTCTGTCTCCCCACATTGACAGAAAACACTTTGTTGCATTGCGGACATGGGTAACTCTTTTTCTTTTTTTGAACAGTATTTTGAGTTGTGTATGAGTGAATATCTGGCAGGAATGATTCTTGCGGAACTCCAGAGTATGTTCCCAAACCATGAAAATCTGAAATCAACAAAAAAGAATCTAGTTCATGAACTCCAAAAGAAAAGCCGAACGGATTGCAATGATTAAAACTTTTAATTGAAAATGGTCATTTACATAAGATTGTATTATGTCAATATTACAAAACATTCTATTAGCGATACACCATGATACAGTTCATTTCCCATCAACAGATTCGGCCAGGAAAACTTGTCAACGTAAAAACGGAAATTAAAAGCCACTCCAGCTAGTTGATATGCAGATCCTCTACATGGATCAAACACATATAAAACAGACATCACTATCTATATAACATCCTTCACAAGCAACAAATACACCTAACACAGACATGACTCTCTGTATGTCCTTCACATGGAGAAACTCAGCATGTAGACCTAGCATTGGAGTACCAGAGCAAGAAAATGACATGTAACCTCCATCAACACAGGTTGTACTCAGTTCTCTATCCCAGGAATTTGCTCCTCGTTCACGGGACACTTGTAAAACTTGACTGAGCAGCCAGTTTATGGCACTTTTCACATTATTCCAGCAAAATTTATAGAGAGAGACACCAAGGACAGCCTTTACACTTTGTTGGAACAGAACCCTGTCACAAAATTAACAACCGCCTAAAGCCTAACTCACTTCCAAGTTATCAGGAGATTCTGCAAGAGCTATCTCCAAATTAACAACCACTTAAAGCCTAACTCACCTCCAAGTTATCAGGAGATTCTGCAAGAGCTATCTCCAAATTAGCAACCACCTAAAGCCTAACTCACCTCCAAGTTATCAGGAGATTCTGCAAGAGCTATCTCCAAATAAGCAACCACCTAAAGCCTAACTCACCTCCAAGTTATCAGGAGATTCTGCAAGAGCTATCTCCAAATTAGCAACCACCTAAAGCCTAACTCACCTCCAAGTTATCATGAAGAGTTATCTCTAAATCTCTTTAAACTGAACTTGTTCAAGTGGCAATAATTTTGATCAAATCGGATGTGATATGTTGATTTTACGTCAGATGAGCCCGATAAACTCAATCTATGCATCATCACTAACAGATTCACAGAAATCACACTATTTGCAGTGGTTGACAATGATAAAAGGTCAAGATTTAGTCACCAGACTCAAATATAAAAGAACAACCATCAAGGTCCACAAGAACCCCCTTCATTTCGAAAAGAAAACCTTTCCCTGTTGCCGAATGCAAGAGACAAATTTGAGGTCAGCATATGTTCATTTTGTATGACTGACATTTGCTTCATGACTTCAGTGAGTGAGTTGAGTTTTACTCCAGCTTCAGCAAGATCACACCAAGAAAAGAGTTCCTCGAAGAGCCAGACACATCATATTCTAAACAGTCATATTGCCAGTTGTGCACAAGTAGCATGTTTTCTTATGCCGGAGATAATTCTGCTGGTAATTGTACACCTTCCCACATATGCAATAATACAACAGCTTGTCATGGATTGCATGGATATGTCTTAATCTGGCACTACTAGCAGTGAACGATTTGTCGCACTGAGGACAAGAGAAAGATTTCTTTGTATCAGATCGTCTCTGAGGTCTACGTTCAGTCCTGTGTGTTAAAAAGCCCTGCTGGGGACCCTCTTGCTCAGCCTCTACAAATGTGCCCAAACCTGAAAACAGGAAAAAATTGTACTTGTCCACTATCTCGTTATCAGAACAGAATATGTCAAACAAAAACAATGTACAACATACTGCAAGGGAATTAAGCAAAGAGCATTTGGTCACGGAATCTTGATCAAGCATGGCTTCTGTTCCTCAGCCTGCTATAGCTGATTTCTATTCGTTCATCGGGGTAATCAAACATCCTCTGTGAGATTCAGTCTACATGTAACTTTCCCCCCAAAATCAGTTTCATTGTAAGAAGGAAAGAATGTTTAATTGTTTGGATGAACATAGGTGGTGTGACCACAACACAATCACAGTCGATCTGAACCAAGGACAACTACCTACAGTATTCTGCTCTGGGAAAGTTTAAGGTGGATCAGGGGACTCCTGAGCAATGTGATCTCCAAAAGAATTTGCCAACTCTTGCTGGTCATTTACAGTCATGCACATTTACAGTCATGCACATTCACAGTGATCTCACAGCAGTGTTCAGTTGCTTCCATGGTCATCCAAGTTTGTTGATGTGAGGATATATACATGCAGTCATTATGCACTGATGACAATGGATGCCAAGAGTTACTTTGCTTTCCTTGCATGAACATCCCAATTCCATTGATCTATGTGTAAAACAAGAACTTACACACACAGATGACAATGAAGACAGTGTTACTTCACTTTTCTTGTATGGCCTTCACAATCAGTGTTTCCTCAATCTTTGCACCACACTAGAATCTTGCCACACAGGAGACTCACTGTGATATGAAAGTGTTCCAAGGTCACAAAACACCACACACAAGACTCATTGAAACTTGAGTGTTTCAAGGTCACGAAATACCATAAACACAAGACTCATTGAAAATTGATTGTTCCAAGGTCACGAAATACCATAAACACAAGACTCATTGAAAATTGATTGTTTCAAGGTCACAAAACACCACACACACAAGACTCATTGAAACTTGAGTGTTTCAAGGTCAAGAAACTCAACACTCACAACATGTGAGAATATGAACTAAAAACTTTGATGGCTATTGACTTCCTTTCACCTAGTATGAACACAAGAACCACTGACCATCAATACAACTCCATGAGTTCAACATCTGCAGCTTTGCTGACTTCTATTTGTGCTAAACAAGCCGTTGAAGTGTCTGTCTCGATTTTTGTTACCGTTTGTTTGGGGTTTAATGCAGCACTCAGCAATATTCCATCTTTATGACAGTGGCCGGTAAATAATTAAGTCTGGACCAGACAATCCCCACCAACAGGGCACAATGACACGCTATCAACCTAGTCACCAGCCTGACCACCCGATCCATTGGTTGCTTCTTACAACCAGCATAGGTTGCTGGCCACCAATTTTAACCTGGAATCCTCATGGGAATCTAGAGTTGGGTCAAAAGCTGACCCACTGTCCTCTTAAACCCTCTGATCACACAATCACAAAGCATCAATACCTTCTGGAAGACAATCTAGTAACTACAAATCACTTCGAGTGAAAGTTTTGGGGCAACATTGTACAACAACTGAATTTGTCTATCTCAAGACAGCTCCTATGTTCTTGTTCAAATGTCCCATGTTATTTAAACGTTTTTGAAGAAACATCTCCTAACAACCACTGTATTTGACAATTTCTAAATAGTTCCTGACATTAGCCACTATTCCAAAGCCTGAGTTTTGTAAAATTATTTTCACTCAAGTAAGATCAGCTGATAAAACTCCATGTGATAACACCAAAACGTATTGAAAATGGCTCAGAGCCAAGTTCAGGCTTGTGGACCCTGAAGTTTTTGGCACAGAAAAATGATGTTCAGTTTTTCTTGTTCATGTGCGATTTGATCACTTTCATTTGGTGTTTAATCTGGACTGCAGTGATGCATGATACAACGAGCAGTTTTTCTTGTTCATGTGCGATTTGATCACTTTCATTTGGTGTTTAATCTGGACTGCAGTGATGCATGATACAATGTGCAGGTTTTCTTGTTCATGTGCGATTTGATCACTTTTATTTGGTGTTTAATCTGGACTGCAGCGATGCATGATACAACGAGCAGGTTTTCTTGTGGCGAATGTAGCTCTGCTGATAATTGTACTTTCGTCCACAAACACAGTTGTAAACCAAATTTTCATGTATAGCATTCACGTGTCTCTGGCGTGCACTGCTGTCGGTAAACATTTTGGTACATTTGGGGCAGGGAAAGCAACGTTTAGATGTTTCGGTGGGTCTTAGATTGCTAGTGTGTGCTCCATAATCTGGCAGGAGACTTTCCTGGAGAGGGAAATATGTTGCCAAACCAGTCATATCTGAAACCAACAAAAAAAAACTGCTACAGAAATAGTTTCTTTATTTCAACTTTCATTTTCATATTATTTACATGTACAAGTAAAAAATTAGAAAGGTCCTTAAAAAAAAGGATAATTAATGTTATACCGGAACTGTTATTCCGGTCAAATTTGGCTAAACATCCTCTGCCAAACAATCCTGAATACTGCATGTGCTAAGTTGGTTGGTTGGTTTGTTGTTTAACGCAGCACTCAGCAATATTCCGCGTTCTCATTGATCATGTCATTCAGATCAAGGATGAAACCTGTTTTTCTGAAGTTGAAACGAGTCAACCCACATTGATGGAGCTAAAACTTGATAATTATGTTGTTGATCTTGATAACGATCAGGTCTTTTTGGTTCCATCATCTGATCTCCCCTTTTGTCACTGACAATGTTGCGAATACATTTATGACATAGCCCGTAGGTCTATAACTCTATAACTACTTTATCAAAAGCGTCGATTCACCACAACGATGATGTTTGTTTGTTTGTTTGTTTGTTGTTTAACGCCGCAATCACCAATGTTCCAGCTATATGACGGCGGCCATAAATAATCGAATCTGAACCAGTCAATCCAGTGATTGATATCAGGAGCATCGATCCGCGCATGTACTGACTTGTTTGGGTTATTGGGTTATTATGCTAAGAGTGGCAGTGGAGTGCTCTATTTGTATTTGTTTGTCACGCCAAAGACCTGTTCTAAGATTCACAAGTGTATAATGAGTGAAGCACTTTTCTGGCCGCTTTTAACAATACCAATTATGGTTGAATTCTAGTTTCCTTTTTCTTGCCTACAACTTGTACACTATTCAGGTTCTAAACATTATTTTGGAATAAAGGAACATTCCCTATCTCATCACATGACAAGACTCGACAGAAACTGATAACTACAACAAGGAAACACCACAGACAAGGAACTATCTAAATAGCATGCGATCATTGGTCATTTATTTAGAACTCATACTCAGAGGAAATTCAATAATCACTGACTGCTTTCACAAGCAGATGTGCCTCGATCTTAGAGGTGAGGTGTGGTGAGATTCAATGGGGTTTAATGTCGAAACCAAGATTCACAGCAATGGCATGGAGCAGTATCACATATTAACTTAAAGTCAGTGGTATGCTGGCCAAACGATCACAAGATCCTCAAATCTCTGTGCAGAGTTGTGTCCCTTTGCAATGCCAGGAACATCTTGTCATGAGTTTCCACATAATGAACCTAGGTATATCAGCATCACATTGCGGGTAAACTGGTTTGCAACACCAAGATGGAACACTGTTATCTTAACAAAACTGTTCAAATCAAAACACAAACAAGAACAAACAATGGAGAATCTCAATTCAAACACACTCAAAAATAGTGAGGGAAAAGGTCTGTAGGCATTATTTTTTCTGTAAGAGTTCTACATCCGACAAGGAGAAGTTTGTACAAGGGTTTGCTAGAAGTGATACCATGGGACAAGTCTTTCTGTGGCGGCCATAACTCTGTTGGTAATTGTACTGTTTCCCACACACACAGCTATAAATCAAATTTTCATGTTTGGCTTTCACATGTCTTTGTCTTGACCTGCTGAAAGCAAACACCTTGGTACATTTTGGGCAAGGAAAGCATTTCTTAGAGGCCACTGTTTGTATTAGCTTGCTACGGTTTGCTCCGTGGAGGATAGTCTCTCGAGCCAAACCATGAATATCTGAAATATAGAAAAACAGAGTCTCTAAGCCTCTACAAGCAACACAAATATTTTACGAAGCTGAACATGATATATTTATCCTCATTTCAATCTACACGATCAAAACAAAATAAGGTTGCAAGATCAGAGTTATCCCCCTTCATCTTGTTAGAGTGACTGTTGTCACAGTAAATCATGGCAAACATGATTTGATGAACAATGAATTACAACTAATCAAAAGGTGTGTAACTTAACAAATGTTGACTGAGGACAAATGCCAAACAGTACGGGGGATGAAAAATAAATTGTCAAATATTCAGCCTGTGAGATCTGAAACCGGCTGGTAACTTTTTAGGCAAGATAGTCTCAAATGCAGCTGGGCTATTTCCCACAAGCCTCAGCAGCCTCAAATAACTTCAACATAAAAAGCATCTTATACAATGAACTACCTTCGTAGCAACAGTCAATATTTGTGCATTATACAGACTCCGATCCAACCAGACTTTATCTTTGCCCCTCAATGCCGAAAGCCAGGCAGGGTAAGAACAAATACCATCTTTTAACGTCTTTTGGTATGACGCAGCTGGGGATCGAACCACGGACTTGCCGCTCTCCAGGACAACCATTATCCATTAGACCACAAAGATAGTATGCCTCAACCAGAGAAAGCTGTAACATGGATGAAATAACTGACGAAAAAAGCAGCCACACAATCTGTATGGGCATGGTGTCTTTGGGATGTGTGTGCAAGAAAGTATCAGTCTGGACAAGCTTAGGGATATGTTCCAATTGCGTGGATCGATGCTCATGATGTTAATCACTGGATTGTCTGGTCCAGACTCGATTATTTCCGCCGTCATATAGCTGGAATATTGCTGAATGCGGCGTAAAACAACAAACAAACAAACAAAAGAAGCCAATCATGATCTGTCCAGTACTGATGAAGCATGTGACTGAAACACAAGTACTAAGCGTCCTTTTAAGCACCAGGCAGGGTCAGTGCTGATTAGTCTGTTGGAATCTCAGTGCTTCAGAGTGACCCCTGAATATTGAAAGTTTGCTTGCCTTGAGTATGGTTTTACGCCACTTAGAGCAATATTCCAGCAACATCATGGCAATGGACACCAGAAATGGGTTTCACACATTGTGCCCATGTGGGTATCCTTGCTGTTAACAAAGAAGTCTCACTTTTCTATTGTTTGCCTATTGGTGTTCACTTGTAGAATGTTTGCTGAGAAGAACTGTAGTGATACCATAATATTGTAATATATCATAAAATAACATATGAAGCTGCAACCATATTCCTTTGGATAACATTTAGGAATACGACTATAATGAACTGTTTATATTTGTTGCATTATATCAGCTATTGTACATTTCATATCAATGGCACTGAGTATTACGTTCACTTCAGTGGCATGCTAGCTCAATGATCTCAACAACCTCAAATCTCTGTGCTGAGTTGTGTCCCTTTGCGAAGCCAGTAACATCTTGTCATGTCTTCAATTTCCACACTCTGAACCAAGGAATGTCAACATCACACAGTGGGTTTTAAAATGGAAGTGTCCACAACCTGTGCCACTTTGAACTTGTTTGCAAAACCAAACTGACCCACGGGGATATTAATGAAACTGTTCAAAGCAGAACAAATCCAGCTCACTTCATACAATGATACACTTGAGAGAATCTGAATTCAAACACACTGAAAAATTAGTGAGGGAAAAGTTCTTTCAACAGTGAGGTCATTATTTTTTCTGTAAGAGTTCTACATCTGACAAGGAGACGTTTGTACAAGGGTTTGTTTGAAGTGATGCCATGGGACAAGTCTTTCTGTGGCGGCCATAACTCTGTTGGTAATTGTACTGTTTCCCACACACACACCTATGAATAAAATGTTCATGTTTTGCTTTCACATGTCTTCGTCTTGTCCCACTAAAAGCAAACACTTTGTTACATTTTGAACAAGGGAAGCATTTCTTAGAGGCCTCTGTTTGTATTAGCTTGCTACAGTTTGCTCCTTGGAAGATAGTCTCTCGAGCCAAACCATGTACATCTGAAATACAGAAAAACAGAGTCTCTAAGCCTCTACAAGCAACATAAATAATTTTTTACGTTGAACTATATATTAATCCTCATTATCATACCTCAATGTCAGAATGATGAGATCTGATTTATCCACGTGATCTTGATAAAATACTGTGTAACCCGACTTGGAGGTAACACATTTCTCAGTGGGAGAAAAAATCTCATACCCCGCCTCGAGCAATACAGGCTGCAAGTGGATTTCTGAAGGGCAGAATAAATCCTGATACATCGCTTCAAAGCAAAAAGCAGCAGGCTTTTTCCGAGTCAATGGAAGTCACGTGACACAGCGCAAGTTAACCTCAGTTCAATCGAACAGCTGTTTTCTATGTTTAATTTGTGGATATTCTTTTACAGGTCACATTAAAACATGGTGGTATAAAACCCTATGTACCCCTCGTGATTCTACAACTCATATTTCGATCATCACAAAATGAGATTGTTCAGAGATCAGAGTTATCCCCCTTCATCTTGTTTGAGTGACTGTTGTCACAGTAACCTTGTGTACAGCAAAAAAATAACAACCAATCAAAAGCTGTGTTACTTAAAAAACTTTGACTACCCATGTTTAACATTACGGAGATGATAAATAAAACATCGCATATTGAATGTAGCGTAATTTGAAACTGGCGAGTAACTATTAAGGTTAGACCAGAGCCAACCTGTCCAGCTGTATTTTGAGACACGGATCATACACGGATCAGGAGCCACAGATAACAACACGGAAGCATCAAAAGGCAATGAACTATCTGCAAATCAAGTCATCATTTTTGATAATAACTGACCCTAAAAAATTTGTATTGAGAGGAAATTCAATATTCACTGACCAGTCCTTGTTTTATTCCCTGAATGCCGTTCGCCCAGCAGTGAAACAAGAAGTGACAACTTTTAACATCTTTCGGGATGACGCAACTGGGGATCAAACTTATACCTTCCACTCCCCCGGCAGACCACTATCCACTAGACCACGAAGGTGATCTGCCTTAACCAAAGAAAGAATTAATATGAATCAGGTACCTGATAAGCAAGCAACCACACAGAATCTGCATGGGCATGCTGTCTTTGGATTGTGTGTAAGAAAGTATCAGTCTGGACGAACTTGGAAATGTTATTTAAGGACGTGAACTAGAGGACATGAACTAGAGCAAAAGAAGCAAATTATCACCTGAACAGCACTGATAAATAAAGAGAATCTGAATTCAAACCATTCAGAAATAGTCTGTGAT